TAACTTTATAAGAAACTGTCAAAGTGCTTTCCAAAGTGTACATTCTAATATTCCCCCCAGAAATGGGTGAGAATGTAGGTGTTCTATAGTCTTGTCAACATTGTTACCGAGAGTCTTTCATACTACGGGCGTGTCCTGGTATCTCACTCTGGCTTTAATTTGCATTTTCTTGATGACCCATGATGTTGAGCATCTTCTCATGTGCTTGTTGGCTGCGTGCCTGTTTTCTGCAAAGTGGCCTTTCAAATCTTCTGCTTTTTAAAAAAATGTGGGTTATCTGTCCTCTTGAGTCTTAAGAATTCTTTACATATCCTGGCTGCAGGTCTTTATCAGATAAATTAACTACGAATATTTTCTCCCAGTCTGTGTCTTGTCTTTCCATCAAAAAAAAAAAAAAAAAAAAGTGTCCTTTGAAGAGCAGCAGTTTTTAATTTTGATGAGACTTGACTTATCAATTTTTCCCTTTAGGCTTTGTGCTTTTGTGTCCTATCTAGGAAATCTTTGCCTACCCCAAGGTTATGGAGATTTTTTCTTCTGTTTTCTTTTCTAAGTTCTGCAGTCTAGCTCTTATACTTAGGCCTAAAATCCCCTTCAGGTTTAATTTTGTATATCGTGTGTGGTAAAGACTGAGCTCCCCACCCCCCACAGGCATCCAACTGTCCCAAGGACCATTTCTTGAAGACTATGTTTCCCCCATTGAATTGCCTAAGTGCCGTTGGCAAAAATCAATTGACCACATATGTGCAGATGTATTTTAGGACTCAGTTTTGTTGGACTGATCTATTTGTCTATCCTCACTTCAGTACCACACTGTCTTGACTGCTGGGAAACCTTCCAAGGTTGAGTTAAGCAATGCACAAGTTGAGAGGGAAATACTCCTCTAGGGGTGCTTTGAACCACCTGCCCGTTGCCCCACCGTGTGACTTGCCCTGGCAGGGGCACACTTCCAACGCCGCTCTCCAGGGCAATTCAGCCAGCCTGTGAAACACTGCTTTTAACCCTAACAAGCTCAGGACACGCTGCAACTTACAAATCAGCTTCACAGCCTCTGGCTCACTCATCTCCATGCTGATGGAGCCCCTCCAACTCACTCTTATCTGTCCTTCTCCACAACCGTGGGGCAGGCTACTTGGTTCTGATCGTACCACTTTATGGATAAGGAAAGGTAGACTTCAGGGTTATTGGCATCAGGACACCTTCTCAATAGTTGTGGAACTCTGGAATTCTAGAACTGATCCAGAAAAACAAAGGCCCATCTGACTTTATCATTTTAGCTGTCTGTTCTAATTGTGCCTGCCAGCCTGCTGGGTGAGTGGCAGGTCACAAAGGCAAGTCACATCTATGCTACATTTGCACCCCTCGGCCCCCAACCCAACACACACAGACACAGACACAGACACACACACACACTCTTCTACATTTATCTGAAATGACACCAGTAGCTGGCCTAGCGAGTTTTGCTCGTGTTCACATCTCTGGGTCACAACGACAATCCACCCTTATTGTGAGCCCCACCCAATCCTCTGATCCTTCTGACGAGGCCAGAGCACTGGCTCCAGCAGCCCCTTGGCTCAGGAATCAGTGTGGTAAAGTCTCTCCCTTTCCTCCCTCCCAAGGGTGTTTATTCAAAAGACGGGCTGGAAACGGGTTGCTGTCATTTGGAAAGCTCCCCACACCCCAGCTAGTAGGCATGGCACTGGTGTCTGGATGGCGGCATCCTCACGGGCTGCTGGGGGTGGAGTTGCAGGGGCTGAGGTTAGGGATAAAGAACTAAGGGGTTCAAAGGAAGCGGCAGGAGATGAGGGTTTCTGATAAAAGTGGAGCTGATGTGAGGGGCTTCATTAAGAAGTTAGAGGACAGTTATGATGACACTGTGTGTGTGACCTCGGGCAGGTCCCTTTTTCTTTTGGGGACTCAGTTTTCTCACCTGGGTAAGAACAAATTAGGCTGGGGGACTCTCTGGGGTCCTATTCAGCTCTGGGTGGATTTGATTCTGGGAGTTGGAAATGCAAAGAAAGGAGGTCACAGGGCAGTTGGTGATGCTGGCAGAGGCGAACAGATGGCGGAGAGCAGGGCGCAAGTGTTCTTGCTGGTGCCTCATTCTTAACATTACAGGAGGTCGAGCAAGGTAGCACACGTGGAGCCGGGGACTGGGCAGGTAGAGGCAGCAAAGCGCTTACCGAAGAGGCATCTGTTCCTGCCGGAACTGCCGAGCTGGCGTCAGACAGCGGGGCCCCGGGGCTTCCTAGCTGCAAGCCGTGGCTTTTCCCCTGCCAGCACAGCTACAAGAACTACCTGGAATGGTCCTGCAGAGAGCAAATGAGACAAGCTTTGCAAACTCTGAAGTTTGTGGCACGTTCGCTTTACCGAACGGGGAAGGGCTGACACATCCTGTGCCTGTGGTCCTGGAGGATCCTGGCTCATTCACTTTTCAGCTGTGTGCCCTCAGGCAAGCCTTTTGTCTCCCTGAGCTCCCTCATGGGTAAAGTGGGGGCTAACCACAGCCAGCTCATGAGACTGTTCTGAAGCTGAAACGGGAAAATGACTGGCAAGACCTTTCTGACCCTGAGGACCCCAATAGGCCCTCCTGCAGTGCTGGAGAGGGGTTCACGGAAGACATGGCACACAAGGAGTTTGGTTGGGGTGAAGGCAGACTGAACGGTAGAGCGGCTGGACTTTGGAGCTGGAGAGTCTGGAGACTGTTCACCCCTCTGGGGTGTGTGACACAAGCAAGCTGCTTAACCACACTGTTAGGCTAAATCGGTTGTCTGCTATGTACTTTGTATCATGCCCAGCACACAGCAATTGCCAGAATTACTATCAACAGGGTCCTGGACAATTCACTTCAGTGTGCCATGCTCCTGTTTTCCCAAACTTCGGCTTAGTTTTGGGAGCTGTGAACACCTCTTATGGGCAAAGCCTCATCCTAGGTCTAGGAGCCAGGAGTGAATCCACCAATGGCTAGAAGTTCATGGCCCGCAGAGTTCTACATCCTCCAGCCCCCATCTGTGGTCTCGGGATCACCTGCTGGAGTAAAGACAATGAAGGGAAGTTACACTTAAGGCCCGTGAACTCCAGCAGTCTGTTAGGATCTGCATAAGAATGGTCAAGTAGGCAAAAGTTGTAGTGCTCTGAATGGGTAAACCCAGTTCTGGATCACAGCTCGCCTGAGTCTGTCCTAAACTCAGCGGTCGGGGCCACCAGGCCTTTCTGCAAAGGTTGCGGTCTGCTGGAGGAGCACGCGCACCAAGCCACAAAACACAAAACCCACAAAACGGGCCTGACCAACTTTATTGGGCTGTGAGCTTTCACAATGACAAAGAAAACCAAACTCAGCTTTTCATCCCATAAACACTTCATATACCTGACTCCCATTTTGGAGAACTTCTTTTTGGTCCAGTCATTTTATTGCAGATTAAATATTAAAATATTCTTGTGATATAGACTAATGTGATAAATCACAACCTGGGAGTTCCTTCTATAAAGAACCGCCAAAGTGCAGCATGAACACACATGGAACTTCTAGTTTTCAATATCCCCACGGTACAAAATACCTAACGTTATGTAGCCCGTATCATGTTCCAGGCACTGTTTAAAGTACTCTACATCTATTATGGTAATCTATCATAAGTGCTCTGTGAAGAACATAGAATATTACAGCTGATGCAGAAGCTGAGGCACAGAAATGATCTAATTTGCCCAAGGTCACGCAGGCTGTTAGGCTCTCAGGTCTGTGCTCTTACAATCGATAAACATGGAGCCTTTGGCTAGTTGTCATTTGCTCTTTTTTAAAAATGAATTTGGGGCACCTGGCCAGCTCGGTCAGTTGAGTGTTTGGCTCTTGATTTCGGCTCAGGTCATGATCTCACGGTTTGTGGGATTAAGCCTTGTACTGGGCTGTGCTGACAACGTGGAGCCTGCTTGGGATTCTCTCCCTCTCCCTATCTCTCTGTCCCTCCCCTGCTCACATGTGTGCGCTGTCTCTCAAAACAAATAAATAAACTTAAAAAAATGAATTTAGCTTTCAGGGCGCCTGGCTGGGTCAGTTAGTAGAACATGGGACTCTTGATCTTATGGTTCTAAGTTCAAGCCCCACATTGGGATAGAATTAAAAAAATGGGAAAAAGAAAAAAATTTACCTGTAAAGAGATGTTGAAAAGTTTATTTGTCCTTAGACCAACAGCTAAGTAAGGAACTGTAAGACTGGTCAGTGCCATGAAAGTGCTCGGGTACCTGGAAGGCAAACACCACGTGCAGGCTGGGAGGAGGGAGGAGGCTCACGCTCCACAGCCACTGCATCTAAGGCAGGCCTTGAAGGACACAAAGCAACTGTATCTTACACTTGGTAGGCGCTTACTTAACAAAACACCAACATTAACAAAGCCAATGACTCCGAGGACATGAAGGTGCCAACACATGTAAGATGTACACTTGTGAGTGACACTGTCCCCTCACTTCAACATCCAGTTTACTTCGGGCTTTAGACTTGGCTGTTTACGTTCCTAACACCACCACACAGGTCACAGAGGCCCAGACCTAATGTTATGTTCTTCTCCTGTGATAAACACCTATTGATGCCACGTCTCAGTGTGCAAAAATATGGTAAGTCAACTTGTAAAAAAATACAGAACATTCTTGCTCTGGATCCAGGCAAAGGTATGACTAACAAAAATTTCCCAACAGAGGACAGTGAGGGCTTAGGTGCACTGATCTGGGGAACTACGGTGACCTTGTTTTCATTCTGAACTCAAATTAATTATTTTAATGATGATATACTTAGACTATCAAAACCAAGTAAGGCACACTAGGACTCAAAATTTATAGGCAGAGCAACAACGATCCGGAGAAAATATAATTAAAATATTCTGCTGAATGTGGAATTGTATCATTTTTATCCCTTAATCAATACTGGTAAGACGTGGAATAATCATAGCATAAAACATACTTTGTTACTCTGAAAAAGTCGATGGGAAGGTGTGGGTATAGGAAAGTGGCTCAGATTCAAGATTCAAGTATATTTTTCTTTTAATCTCATCTGCAATAGATTCCAGGTTTCTTTCTCGGTTTCAAAAGTGAGTCTACAAACTACCAAAACACGCTATTAATGAATACAGCATAAAGGCCTTTAAAAAATTCTGATTATACCAGCAGTTTGGTGACATAGCAGTAGAGCTGTTCTGTAAAAGCTTCAGAGGAAAACTTTTCCTTCACCCTGGCTCTCCCGGCCAGTCCCATTGTTGTTTTTAAGGAAGGTTCATGGATGAACTTTTCCATTGCTTCTGAGAAGTGCACGGGGTCGGGCTCGCACAGAAATCCTGTGACACCGTGGACGACGGACTCCAAGGGACCCCCCGAATTAACAGCAATGACTGGGCACTGCATGTACATGGCCTCCAAAGGGACGATGCCAAAGTGTTCGTTGCTTGGTGTGTAAAGCACACAGGTACAGCCGTGGAGGAGTGAGATTTTCTGTTTGTCTGAGAAAGACCGCAGGAAGGTCACATACTGCGCAAGGTCGGACTGCTGGACCGTTTTCTTCAATTCCTGATAGTGCTCCACGTTCTCCAGGACTCTTTCTTCATAACCACCTGCCACGATGAGGTGAACCTTGTCCCAGTCTTGGGACGTCAGTCTGCCACGCAGTTCTACGAGGGCTTCCAGTGCCAAAGTCAGATTTTTCTTCCTTTCGTATCTGTTGATGGAGAGGAACAGGAATTTCTTCCCCTTGGGGATGAGGTCATCAAGCTTTTCAGAAATAGCTGAGTCAAAGCTGGTGACGTTCAGAGATGGGTAGAGGACTTCAGGGTCTATGTGAGATAGGGACTTGAATGTTTCCTTGAAAATGGCAGCTGTAAAGCAGCTGTTGACCAAGATGCAGTCGGCCATGCCTGTGGTGTATTCCTCTATCCAGTCGATTGGGGCCCTGTATAAGCGTTTCAGCAATGAATCTCTCCGGGTCAGCAGCAGATCTGGAAAGTGACAATAAAACAGGATCTTCTTACGCCGTCTGGCCAGCTTGAGCACTGGGATACAGGCAGACACCTAGCCAAAGGAAAAATCAACAGCAGATACACACTGGTCAACACACTGTCAACGAAGTCAAAAGCATAGCCACCCACCCACCCTGCCAGGCTGTGGGCTCCTCGTGGGCAACGTCGGATTCTGCTTTGTGTTCCCCTAGACTCTCATCCATCTGGCACAATGGCCGGTGTAGAAAAGGCTCACAGACATCTGCTGGCTGTGTGCTAACTACTTAAAGCTGCAAATACGAATGGTTTTGTCTAGGACAGCACTGTCCAATGGAAATCAAAATCTAGTAACCACATTATAAAATTTTTAAGGGTGAAATTAAAAAATATCAATTTATCATTTCAAAATGTAATCAATATCATAAGACACTTTCCATCCGATTTTTCCACATTAAAGCTGTAAAATCAGATGTGCATTTTACACTTATACCAGATCTCAGTTCAGACTAGCCACACTTCCAGTGCTTAAGAGCCACACGTGCTTAGTGGCTCCCATACTGGACAGGGCAGCTCTAGTAGGTTTCTCCTCCTAAGGAACTAGATGAACTAATTAGTTTAGACTACAGGCTCTGGAATCAAGATTGTTAGCTGTGTGACCATGAGCAAGTAATCCACCTCTCTCTGTGCCTCAGTTTTCTCTTCTGTAACATGGTGACAATTGCAGTTCCAAAAACCCTTGTATGGTGTTTGTGATTATTAAATGCACAGGTGCATGTAAAATGCTTAAGAACTTAGCACTTAGTATGTGTTCAATAAACGTTAACCAGAATCATTACTAAGCGTGAACTATATGCTAGCATTCCCAGAGACTTTCCTGTTGGGTAATCTGTATAAGTTACTTGATCTCTAGCTCACTTACCACCGGAAGAATACTGTGATATTTATCCACAGCTTCTTAGTTAGAAAGTAGCAGCTATGGAACCAAATCCAGGTCTCCTACTTCAAAGCTGTTTTTTCTTTTTTCCTATTCACTAATCTCAGCTGCCTCATGCTTAATGTCTAGTTCCACAATGCCCAGATTTCTTAAAAAGAAACAGCTTCTATACAAGCAAGGATGACCAAAGTAACTCAGGAATAATAATTACAGAAAACACACAAATACATTTGTGAAATACAAACGTGAACCCATTCCCACCTATCATTTTGGCAGAGAGTAAAATGGCTGGTATTATCCAATGTGCATAAGGGCAGGGAATAACAGGAACCTATCATACACTGTGGGAAAGCAAAGTGACAAGGCCTCTTTGAAAGGTCAATTTGGCAACAGCTGATATTTAAAATAAATTCTTGGGGGCACCTGGGTGGCTCAGTTGGTTAAGTGTCTGACTTCAGCTCAGGTCATGATCTTGCAGTCTATAGGTTCGAGCCCTGCACTGGGCTCTGTGCTGACAGCACAGAGCCTGGAGCCTGCTTCCGATTCTGTGTCTCGCTCTGTCTCTGCCCGACCCTCCCCCCCCCACACACACACACTCTGTCTCTCTCTCTTAAAAATAAACATTTAAAAAGTTAATAAAATAAACTCTTGGAGGGGTGCCTGGGTGGCTGAGTCTAAGTGTCTGACTTCAGGACTTTGGCTCGGTCACAATTGCACAGTTTGTGGGTTCAAGCCCTGCATTAGGCTCTGTGTTGACAGCTCAGAGCCTGGAGCCTGCTTCAGATACTGGGTCTTCCTCCCTCTTTCTGCCCTTGCCCTGCTCTCGTCTGTCTCTCAAAAATAAATAAACGTTTACAAAAATTAAAAAAACACTCTTGGACACCAACTTTATTTCTAGGAATTTACTCAAAGGACATGCGGACAAAAGTACAAAAAAAAGAGTACAAGGATGTCCATTACGATACTGACCTACTTGCAAAAAACCAGTCCCAATGAGTGTCTTTCAGCAGAATAATGTATAAGTTACAGTACTTTCAAACAAAAGCAGGTTTTCCAACAACCATTATGAAGCATGAGATGAATCTTTAATACTGATATATATGGATGTCCAAAACAGAGATTTTGGGTGAAGAAAAGGTCAAGTTATCAAATAGTAGATGTGCCACAATCCTCATTACAAAAAAGATGCATCTGAGTACAGACACATATGCTAGTGCAGCCACAGGCAATTTCTGGAAAGATGCAGGAGAAACTGCTAACAGTTGCTAGCTTTATGGAGTGGATGGGATGTTTATACTATTTGAATTTTTGTTCTGAATAAATGTTTCTAAAACAAATTATTTTGGAAAAAGAAAAAAAAAAGAAAGAAATGGATGTCAGAGTCCCCAGTAGCTAGAGCCCAGATCCAGGTGGGCATTTTTACAGAGGTAAAGAACTGACTTCTCTCAAGCCTGACTCAAGGAGCCATGTTAAAGTTTTAACAGGGGCATGACATGTTTAGCTTGGTGTTTTTAACACGACACTTGAGGACAAATGGGGTGGCCTGGCTGCAGAAGCCACAGGCGGCGGGATGCATGTGACCTGGAAGTAATCAACAGATATAATGCAACGAGGGAAGACATACAAGTTACTCAAAAGCAGAAGGTGTCTGAAGGCTGACTTCTTATGCTTCCGTTTCTTACAGCGAGCCCCAGACCCTTCTACTTCAGCATCACCCGATGATCCAGAGAAAAGGCAGATTTCTGGGCCCCACCTCAGGACCACGGAATGGAAGCTTCTGAGGATGGGGCCTTGACACAACGTGCAACTTTAATGTGTCCACACTAACGTGCGAGAACTAGTCACACTCCCAGTTCTCTTCTTCTCTCCAGATCAGTTCCGATTTTCCCGAACCGCAGACCCGGAGACCTCAGCATAGGCCCTGAAGAGCGCTCTCCCTAGGGGGAAAAGAAGGCAAGGCGAGCACGGGCGTGACCGAACGCACGGCCGCCTCACCTGGTCGCACACGACCACGTCGAACTCCTCGTCGCCGAGGAACAGCACGTACAGCGCCAGGAAGATCATGCGCACGTAGGCGCAGAGAGCCGCGCCGCGGCCGCCCCAGCCCAGGCCGCGCGGGAGCCAGTCCCCGGCGCAGCGCACCTGCAGCTCGCGGCTGTCCGCGAAACAGTGGCCGGGATCGTAGTGCGCCGTCCAGACCTTCACGCTACACCCGCGCGCCTGCAGCGCCAGCGCCGCGTCCAGTACCAGCCGTTCGGCGCCGCCCACGCCCAGGTCCGGGTGCAGGAACAGCACCGACGGGCTGGGACCGAGGTCTTCGTCTCGGCCCCGCTTCTCCTCCATGGCTGCGAAGCCGCGCCAGCGCCCCGCGCTCCGGCGGGCTTCCGCGCATGCTCCTTCGCGGCTCCCAGGGCGCCCCTGCGTGGCCGACCACGCCTCGCGGCGCTGCGTCCGTTAGGCCACATCAGCGCAAATTTGCGGGCGCCCGGTGAATGCCAGAAGGAATTTCTCGTCTGACCATGGATATAGCCTCCCTTTGGTAGGGACTGGACTCTATGGAGGACGCTGCGATCCAAAGGAAGGAAGCGGAAAGTCTGTGCTTCCCACGTCGCGGCTGACCAAGTCTCCTGTAACAAAACTCGTGCAGGCATATGGTGGGGCAACCCAGGCGTCCCTGGAGCCACTAAGGACCCTGACGGGGGCCTGGGGGCGGGGTCTGAGCCAGCCTTCCAGCCGCCGGGTCTTGAGGTCTCCACCGCTCCTTGGCTGTCAGTTTCTGCCTCCAATTCCTTCCAGTCCCCAGCATGGTATGGCAGCCCCGGCCTTCCCTCCTTGGTTCCGCCTCTCCCAGGCGCCCCGACTCTTGCCTTCTGCCTTGCCCGCGTCTTGTGGCAGCCTTGCTGTCCCCAGCCTCCCGTGCGGGTGCTGGTCTTGGCCGTCAGGGCCTGGGGTCTGGGGGCGTGCCGGCGGCGCTCACCCTCCTGTCTCGTTGTCTCTCTCTGTAGCCCGGTCCGACTCCCAGTGGCACTAATGTGGGCTCGTCAGGGCGCTCTCCCAGCAAAGCAGTGGCCGCCCGGGCGGCCGGATCCACGGTGCGGCAGAGGTAAGGATTCCGGCGACCCTCTGGCTGTGGTCTCAGAGAGATGGGGCCCAAGAGTTCGCTCGTCCGGAGAAGGAGACCCCGGGATGGATCACCCGGCCAAAATGAGCCTCAGGCGACGTGGCCTCAGGTCTTCTGTGTCCCGAGAGGGAGTCAGTGTTTTCTTCGAATTGCTCAGTTTTGGACACTGCTGTTAAAAAGTAAAGTTAACAAACTGGAGTCGGATCAGAGACGGCTTTGAGAAAACTGATGTTCTTAAACTGGTCCCTGGACCTGAGCTTTCCAGTCGCATTTTTATTTGGAGGGCCCATCCCAGTCAGTCTAACAGGACTTGTCTGATACAAAACTCAGTCTCCTTTCATCCTAGCTTCTGCCCCAGTTCTATTTCCCCTTGCTTCCATAGGGCACTGCTACATACATTCGTTTCCCAAAGCCAAAACTTCAGGGTCGTGTTGGATTTTTCTTACGCTCTGTCTTTATTTAGCCATTTGTGAGGCCGATTGGGACACGGAAAGCACATCAATCCTTTCTTTTTTTAATTTTCACTGTTCTAGTTTAGCCCAACTTCTTTAGATGTTTGCATTTTCTGCCGAAGTCTTGTTTCCAGGTCATTTCCATTCCAGTCTACTGCTCTCTGATTCTGTCACATGTCTTAGTGTCCATCTCAGCTTCTTCTTGCTGAACTTTAAAGGAAAAGGGCGGGGGTGGATACCAATGCCTTTTTTTTTTTTTTCCAGCCTGCCCCCCCCCCCCCCTTATGATCTAGCAGCAGTGAGCTTAGTCCCACTTCACTCGTCTCTGTTTATTCTGCAAGACTAAAAGACTAAGTTCAGGGGTTATTTCCTCCTGAGGCCTTTCCTGACCTGGAAACCAGCAGCCTGGAAACCAGCGGTAGCTATGAGTCTTCTCTTTTGCTCCCAAAGCATTTGTTCATGTGGTGATAATAGCATTTATGTTTCCGTATTTGTCTCTTTCATTAGGCTTTGGCAGAAATGGCCTATCATCTCTGGCTTACTTTAAGACCTGGCATAATAAATGACGAATGAATAAAGGAATAATGCTGTCCTGTAGTCTTGGGATTTTGAAGGGACCATAGGACATAGGAAGTGGGAGGCACTTATACTGTGTCCAGAAAGAAAGGGTAAAAGAAACCCCCAATGGAAATGTAAGAGATTAATATGGGCTCTGTCAGCTTCTTTTTTTTTTTTTAATTTTTAATTTTAATTTTTTAATTTTTTTAATTTTTTCTAGTAGAGAGAGAGAGAGAGACAGCGTGAGCAGGGGAGGGTCAGAGAGAGAGGGACACACAGAATCTGAAGCAGGCTCCGGGCTCTGAGCTGGCAGTCAGCACAGAGCCCGACGCGGGGCTCGAACCCATGAACCGCGAGATCATGACCTAAGCGAAAGTCGGACGCTTAACCGACTAAGCCACCCAGGTGCCTCAGGCTCTGTCAGCTTCTATTTGGCTATCCAGTTGGAGGGATGGGAAGTATTTTGAAATACCATTTGGTATTTCCAGGTGCCCTGATTATCAAGCCCTCTGCACTGTCCCATGTGTCAGTAGATAGAAGAAATCTGTAAAGAGCCTAGCCTGATTTCTTGGAGCTCCTATAATTCCAGGAGACTTTGAGAATGAGCACGGCAGCTGGGAGGTTGTGGGAAGAGTGGAGAATGCGTGGGTCCTAGTCCTGGCTCAGCTGATGACTCACCCATCCACGCTGGGTTTACTCTAGCTCAAGTTCCTTTTTATGAACAAGGAGGAAAATTTCAGGTACCTTCCCCACAGCTTCAGTGATGTCTATCCTTGTGTGTAAAGGCTCTTCTAATCCCTGTACAATTATGTTTACTATTTACATTCAGTTTTTTCATAGATGCAGCCTTACACATGGAATTCTAAGTCCCCAGGCTGCCATATAGCCCGTAGCCAGTGTGTCTGCACTCGAGTCTGGGGTGAAGGCCCCGGGAAGGTGAGGTGGGGATTAGGAGCAGAGCTGGAAGGGCAGCGAGAGGACATGGTGGCAACAGGGTTTTCACTTCCGGCTTTTCCCTGTGTGCCCTGGTCGGTGGCTAAGTGCTGTTTGGCTCCTTCCGTGGTCCAGGGCCGCCTGCACCACAGAGCTCATTTCACCCCCTTGTGGGGGATGAGCTCTGGTGGGGTGTTGTCTGCATTTTTCATATCTGATCTCTCTGCCCAAGATCTACAGACAGTATATCCAAATAGGGAAAATGGCTTACAAAATAATTTTTATTAACTGTACACTCCACTTTAGGACCTGGATTACATTGAGAGCTTAATTGTTTTTGTTTCTTTTGTGGCAAGTACAGTAACTTAAAACCATTTTAAAGTCTGATTATATGGATTCAGGGCTTTTAAGAAGAGAAACTGAAATGCATTGTCCAAATGAGGCGCCCATGCATGTGGGCAAGTGGATGCGCTCTGGAGTCAGAACTGGGTGCACTGCCTGGCTTGGCTGCTGGCTGGCTCTGTGGTCCGAGGCACTTTACTAACCTTTTATGAGCCTGTTTTCCTCACTTATAAAGTGAAAGTGGTGCCCACTTTCTGGGGTTGTTGTATTCATTAGGATATGGCAGTACTCAGTCCCTAGTGGTTATCCTGATCAGTGGAGTATCCTCAAGAATTTGGGGGGTGGTTTAAGAGAAGATAAGTGTTTTTGTGTGTGGGGGGTTCTTCTTTTGTTCTTTAACAACATAGTGGTAGCAAATGTTATAATGCTGTTGTAAAGGCATCTGAGAAATAGCCATTTGTAATATTTCTTTTCTTTACAGAAAAAATGCTAGCTGTGGAACAAGGAGCGCAGGTCGCACGACCTCGGCAGGCACGGGGGGCATGTGGCGATTCTACACAGAAGACTCCCCTGGGCTCAAGGTGTAAGTCTTGGGAGCAGACCTTGCGTTTCTGTCCAGTGTCACACGGCTGTCGGGCAGCGCGGTCTGTGCCACGAGCGGGGTTTGCTTTGATGAGATTTACAGTACACACCAGCTCTTTTCAGGCTGGGAAGGCTGGGTTTGGTTTGTCTGTGTATCAGTCAGTCAGTCTAGGGCCTGGAATAACGTCTCTTCTTGGATTGAGCGACAGCAAGGGAAAATCTTCATGTAGCTGTGTCAACATAAATGAATGGGAACAGAGAGAGCTGGAGGAAACGCTGCTTGCTGAGGTGAAATTGCTCTTTATGTGGTGTTCTTGTCCCACCCTAAGAAATACAAGTGGTCACTTGAGTTGGAGTTGGGTGAGTTTTCAAAGCTTACTGATATCATTGCAGCCTAATGGGAGTTTCTCCGTTAGGCCGTGTCACCAGAAGTCCTTTGGCCTCCTTGCCTTTGGTGGGTGGTGAGTAGACCCCGGAGGGTGAACATGTCACTTTCTAAGTCCTTAGGTTCCGGCAGTGCTTCTTAGGTGATGGGAAGTGGGCATCTGGGGTCCCCAGGCCTTGCTCACCTGGCTTTCCACGGGTTCTGGTACTGTGTGTGGCTGACCTAACGCCGCGGGTCTCTGCGGCAGCTGAGGAATTGGAATGCTGACGCGCTCATCTGTGTAGCATCTCAGTTTACAGTGAAGGCAAACAGCAGGAGCTGGAACTGTTCAGTCCCGTGCTCTTTCCACGCTGTTTGTCTGGTGGAAAGAGGCAAAATTAGATTTATTTGAATTAGCTTAATTAACTTGACTTGTAGCTTGACTTGGTTTGCAGATGCAGTTGATGAGGACTTCTTAAGAATTCCTTGGAATTCTTGAGATTTGGTTTTATTATTTGATTTTTTTACCATTGTCGTGAAGACTTGTAGGGTAGTCTTTGTATTTCAGAGAAATTTTGAAGCCTCTTGCTCTTCACAGGACCCAGAGGACTCAACGTACACCCTTCTCCAGAAGGTGGTAAAACCTCTTCTCAACTTGATAATAAACTATTTGTAAAAAAAAACAAAAAACAAAAAACTCTTCTCCTGTGGGTGTCTGGCTTGTGCTTGCTCTGGGCTTTGTGTTGTTGAACAGCCAGGCTCACCGCTGCTGCTTAGTGCTTGAGCCCTCCGAGGAGAGCAGCTGCTCCTTGAAGTGTCATAAACCACAGTTCCATTGTCAGTGTTTTTAATGAAAAGACGCAGTTGGGAATTTGTATCCACAGATCCACATCTTGGATCTTGTCGCTGTTTCTTCTGAGGAGTTCAGAATTGTTTTTGGCTGATGATAATAGCATTTCCTGGAGCTTACTGTAAGCCTGCATTGTGTTCATGTTAATTTATTTAACACCTCAGCAACCCTATGGGACAGGCACTGGGATTACCCCCATTTTACAGATGAGGAAAATGAGGCTCGGAGAAGGTAAGTAACAGGGCCATGGCCACAGCTCATGAGTGACAAAGTTGGTTGCCAGACTCCAGCTCTCTGGGAGCTGCGCTCTCCGCTTTATGCCCCGTGGCTGATGTTGCTCTCACATTGCACCAAAGTACAGGGTACGGTCAAGTGTAACTCGATGAAGATTGCTTCTCGCATATTTCTGAATTTGTTTATTTCAGTAATTGTACAGATTTTGGGAGAACAGAATAGTGTAGCAAGGACTTTGATCTTGGTGTTGTTTATTGGACACTAATGGACTCCGTTACTCCCCTGCTCCATCGGGTTACTCTATTCACCGCCTTCACTTATAAAGATTTCTGGGGTCTTTTCCAGTATCTACTCCCTAGTTGTATCTGGGAGGTGAAGCGACATCTTAACAGGTGGGGAGGGGCGGGGCGGGGGGGCTCTGACATTTCACCAGCCAGCATTCACAGCTTGTGTGAGATCAAAGGGTTCTCCCTTTAAGAAACCCATGTACTAATTCTCAACTTGAAAACAGCATTTGAATTGGGAAGGGCTGATGAGTAAAATCTGTTTTCTTCCTATGACAAACTCATAAGTCAAGCTAGATGGGAACCTTAAAGAGTAAGATGAGCAGTATGTATGGAATCAGAAAACCCAGGTTCGGACCTCTTCCTTTCTGTTCTGGCTGTGTGTTGTTAGGCAAGTAATAATTTATCTCTGAGCATCAGTTTTCCTTATTTATAAAATGAGATTAATACTTGTCCTGGGTCGTGAGTTTGTTGATCAAGTGGGATTATACATTTGGAAACACTTTGTAATTGATCTATGGCTAATACATTTTAGTTAGACAGTGGAGGTTGTCTTTAAATAAATATTAACTTGAAATAATAGTTTGGTAATTGGGTTATCTGCACTTAAAAGAGTTTGGGAAATTTTTCTTACTACTTTTTATTATGGAAAATACCAAGTATGTGAAATTACAGAGACTGATGTCTCCGAGACATCAAATCCTTTTTTTCTGTATCTTTTAGTATGTTTTTCTAAAAGATAAGGGTTCCTCCTTTCTAAGTCAGCATATTGCTGTTTCCACACCCTCAATACCCATAATAGTAATTTGGGGGAATATTACTAAATGTTGTAAATGATACCCTTGGATGAAGCTTAGGTGCGCCCCCCGCTTTCCCCCAGGCAATCTTTAGTGTCACAGATACAATAAAGTGTTAGTACTAAAAGTAAGCATGCCTTCTCTTCTTCTTTCCAGTGGCCCTGTTCCAGTATTGGTTATGAGTCTTCTGTTCATCGCTTCTGTATTTATGTTGCACATTTGGGGCAAGTACACTCGATCATAGATTCGGCTACATCCATCTGTCTGTCATCTGAAGAAGAAGGAAAAAAACCCAACATATCTTGGACCAAAAACATAGTGATTTTCTGTTTGTGAGAAAGAAATATTCTGTAAGCTTATTGTTTTACAGGGAACTTAACAAGAATTGGTTATAAGGAATCAGTTTTTTCTATGGCTAATAAACTTTTTAATTCATTTATACCAAGTCTCATTGCTAATCCTTGGCCACCAGGGCCCTTAGTCCCTCTTCCTTTAGATTTACAGGTGAATATGCAGAAAAATGTCGTGGGGGGGTGTTTTCTTTGTTGGATTAACAGTTCCTTATATGACCCTGTCGTCACTCAAATCCAAGATACTGTAATTGGCCTCGGCTTGTTTTCTTCCAAGTATTCCTGTCCTGGTGATTGTTATTTTGTGTGTTCCGTTATTGTTAACAAGTGTGCCTGTGACCCCATCAGGCAGATCTGTGTCCAGAGGCAGCTGGTACCTAGGGGAATAGGGGCCATAAACCAGATATCATGGATAAAATGTTCCCTCATTCTGTTCTCTGTCTCTAAAACTGTAGATAATATTTTTGCCTCTTCTCTCTCTCCATTCTTAATTCTGTGAGTGTAGCCCTGAGATTTCCATTTGTTTATCACTAGTTGCTGAACCTGTTTTGAAAGAATTTATTTGGTAAATTAGATTTATCAAATAAAATTTTGTCTCATTTGGAAAATTAGAAGACCGTAATAATCGGTGTGATACCAGCATTTCTAAACTGAGTTGATATAATTCCAACCCAAAATAAAAAAGTTTGAAGTTTCACTTAACTTATGTGGTCTTTCTAGGAAAAGCATTCAGTTTCTCGTAGACCCTGGGAAATACCAAGAAGAGCTCAGAGTGCATAGTCCAGGAGTCTAGGACTCTACGCCAGAATTTCTAAAGAGTGAGAGATCCATAGGTGATGGCATTAGTTTTAAAAAATAGCTAATTTTAAAAACCTCTTTCTCAAGTCTGTTTAAGAAAAACTTCTTAGAAATATCAGTCAAGCAATTTCCCAAGTGTATTTCTTAAGTCCTGGCTGTAAAGTAATGTTAGGTCCCGAGTACCAAGTTTAAGTGATGAAAAGTATGTATCTTTGAAAAAGGTTTCCTAAGGCAGTAAATAGGTGAGCGGGATCTTGTAAATCCAAACAAGTGGCAAATTATTGGGGGAAAACGATGGAAAACTGGTTCCCTTGGATTGTGGATGCTGCTTATTCCATGAAAGTGTAATAGCTGTACCTTTATCTTGAAATTCAGGGGGGAAAAGTCAATGTCATTTGGAAGAAATGAAAGATTATAGTATCTGTAATGGAATTTTTTCCTTGATAATTCAGGTTGATGGTTCCAGTAACAACTAAAAGTTACACGTTTAATTTGCAAAAGGAAGTCTGTCCCTCTCTCCAGAGGGCCCTTTTTTCTCTGGGGGAGATGCTGAAGCCGCCTGGAGGAGCCCTTTGGTTGTGGGGGTGCGTCCTGTCTGCGGCAGGATGCTGCCCGTTGGCCCTGACTGCCTCCGTAGTCTCCAGCGGGCCAGGGGCTGAAAGCCATGGAATCTTCTGAGCTAGTGATGTGTAAGAAAATACTAGTTGTCAGCGGCAGAGCAGGGAGAGGTTTCTTTCAGCAGAAGGAAAATTGGTGGTTGGGCATAAAAATGTACGACGTCTATTATGTTCTGTAGCTACTTTTGGCTCTGATGATACAATGCTAATACCATAGCTGAGAGTTTCAGTGCTCAAGCTGTTCCTTTCTCTTTTCCTTGTCATTTTTAAAAACTAGGGTAAAATACACACACTATACAATGTACCATCGTCACCATTTTTAAGTGTGCAGCTCAGGGGTATTAGGCACATTGACGTGCGGCCATCAACACCATCCATCTATACGATTCTTTTTCATCTTGCAAAACTGAAATTCTAAACCCACAAATGAAAACTCCCCTCTCCTTCGCTTACCCCCTCAGCCCCTGGCAACCACCATTCTACTCTGTGTCTCTGAATTTCATTCTTTAAGTACCTCATATGAGTGGAATCATACAGTCGTTTGTCCTTTTGTGATTGGCCTGTTCAACATAGCATAAGGTCCTCAAGATTCATCCATGTTGTGGCAGAATTCTGTATTCAGAATTTCCTTTGTCAGCCTTAAAAAGTGATATCCCGTTTGTATGAATATACCACCTTTTGTGTCTCTTTCTTTTAAGATAGAGCTTTCTAGGGGTGCCTGGGTGGCTCAGTTGGTTAAGTGACCGACTTTGGCTCAGGTCATGATCTCATGGTTCATGAGTTCAAGCCCTGCATCGGGCTCTGTGCTGACAGCTTGGAGCCTGGAGCCTGCTTCAGATTCTGTCTCTCTCTCTCTCTCTCTCTGCCCCTCTCCCCCTCCCCCCCACCACCACTTGCGTTCTGTCTCTGTCTCTCTTTCTTTCAAAATAAATACACATAAATTTTTTTTTTTTAAATAGAGATTTCTAGGCTGTTGTTCCTTGACCCCTAGGGGAACTGCAAGCTATTCATAATAATTCTGAAAGTCTAACAAGTCAGAACGTTCTGCATTAAGCCTACCTTGACGCATAGAACTCTCAAACCCTCTTCACTATGAGTTATAATTCTAGCCACTTCTGAGTGGATATGAGCCAGCACATGCTAAACAGAAGTGCTAAGTGATTAAAACTGGGAAAATGAATTACATTGTAAATGCGTTTTGGGCGGAGCCTTTTAAGTCATCAGGGACAGAGAGTCCCTGAGACTAGTGAGGGACGTCTGACTAGGATCCCCGGGGTCAGTAGTTTCCTGAACACGTGCCCGTAAAACTGGGTGAGAGATCTGTTTCCAGGGGAGGGGGAACATGACGTAGCTTTTGTTTTCACACCTGGCCTGGTCTAGAGTCCATTTTTTTCCCCCAGGTGCTGATGTCCTCATAGGAAGAATTGAAAAAGACTTTCTGAAATGTTCTAATTGTTGGCATCAGGTTAAGATGGATGAACACGTCCACAAAGCTGGCTGCGTCCCCCAGGAAGTCCTGTACAGCATGTGGAGTCCTGCGTGCCTGGCGTCATGCTCTGGACCCCTTCACAGCACTCCGTCGCCCCTCACGTCATATGCTGCCAGAGGAGGGTTCAGGCCGCGGCCGAGTTTGTTTTACTCTAGGGACACAACTAGAACATCGAACGTTACTGCACTTACTGCCCCGTCTTCCAAACTTAGAAGTGTACCTGACCTGGGTTCAACTACTGGCTGGGCCGTTTACCAGTTGTGAGATTGAGGTTGACTCACTTCCTTCCTGTGCTCACGTTTGTCTTTGGTGTAAATGCCCCCAGGTGTAAGGATTCCCGCCACAGAGAATTAAATGAGAGAAAGGATCCAAGAGTGCCTTCTTCATTAGCTAATGGTTGACAGGTGCTTATTTTCAATAATTTCAGAGATGTAGGTTTCTTATGTAATCAACAAGCCAAGGAATTTACTATTTGCCGTATTTTACATAATAGTAAATGAAAGGTCCAACTACACAGCTTGTAACTCCAGGTCTCGGACTTTCCCCCAGGAGACATATGGACAGGATTAGGAAGTTATTTGCGGTGAGGGTAACGGAAGAGTTGGTATCACAATAGAGCTTCCACAACGTAGCTTTTAATACCAGTTCTGACACCATGCCGCACTCCGATTTGCCGGGCTTCAGGCATTACAGAGCTTTCGTTTGAGGTTTTCGACTCTGCACAAGGGATTGGTTTCTCAGGAACTGCCTTCTGAGCTTTGTTCGCAGGGTGGAACTTTTGTGTTTGTAGAGAAAGCGTGTGTTTATTCACACTGTGTGCCACGCCCTTCTATTGGGGTTTTTTAAGTGACCTGGCAAGGTCACTCACAGCTTAAAAAGGCTGGGGATTTGGATCCCTATCTCGCCTGGGGCTGCAAATCCTAAATAGCTCTGTGATTATGGAGAACCCAGCCCAATCAAAGTGCCCCCAACTTGGTCAAAGCCAGATTTGGGACCACACTCTAAGACTGGTACGCTTGTGGGGTGTGGGCGTGTGGTGCCAGGGATTGCAGAGTTGTCAGTGCCTTTCAGGGAATCCACACTGTATGGTCCCTTGTCTGATGGAAGAAAACGAGAGAACCAGGGCCCCCTAGCTGGAGCGGCCGAGAATTCACTGTGTCCTCCTGTTTAATAGAGGAGCCTGGGGTCCGGAGACCAGAGGGCTGCCCCAGATGGTGCAGCGAGTTCATAGCAGAGCAGGAGGCCAGAACCAGGCTTCCCGGTTGCAGACCTTCTCAGAACTGCATCGCGACCCCATTCGGGGCCTGTGCATAAGTCAGTGACCTCTCTCTAGAGGCTAGGCTCAGACTAGCTCAACAGTGGGGGGTTTTGAATTAGTGGGCGATGTTGATCAAGGGGGAGGAGTAAAGTCAGCGAGGTTAGCCAGTAGGAATAAAATGAGTTGCGTCAATAAATTTGGGAGAAAGTCAACAGGGCCCTGAGACTTCATGGGGAGACAAAATCGGGAGAATGCCAGCCAAAGGGCATGTTTGCATTTTCTGGACCGCAGATGTTAGGTGAGCCAAGCACCCAGGGAGACTGACCGAGGAGGCCTCAGGTAAAGGCCACACGGCTTAAATCCGATTCCTAGCAACTAGCCTCTTTTTCCATGCCAGAGACTTTATAATAAAGTAAAATGTGCCAATTAACTGAATAGGAAGCTGAGACTAGTCATACACAGTCTAGATGGCTCTGTTTTGGGGAAAGGTCTAGAATTCTGTATCTCAGAAAGCAAAGGACACGAAGGAAAGAACTTGAATTACACATGAGTGGTTAAGTGGGTCCTGCAAACAGGCTTGTCTTTCTTCCCATTGGCCCTGGCCAGAGGCAGAGTAGATAATAAATCCTGTAGGGCGGCTTGTTCTAGAAGTCCCCTAACCTGGTTTGGGTGGTAGACTGAAGTGGTTCTCAAATGTTGGCGTGTGTCAGAATCACCTGGAAGGAGCCTGCTCCTGCCGCGTGGCAGACCTGGCCAGCAGCAGCCCGGAGTGCCAGCTCTCTAACGCAGGAGTCCCGGGGTGGGCTCAGGGTGGCTCCGGGCCTGTCACCCACACAAGAGTGTTATTTTTCTTCCCCTTTCTCCTCTTTGAAGCTTCAGCCATGGTACTTGCTTTGCAGCCTGCAGCGCTCTGGGAAATTCACCCTGCC